AAAGAGTGGAGACAACACCTAGAAACATCTCAAACACATGTAATTACAATTTTAAATTAACCGGCCAAAACTGCATTATAGCCATTGAATATTTTGTACCCAGTAAAAAAAAAAAAACAGAACCAAGACAGTCATATCCCCTGACTAAACTGAATGATATAAATCAACACAGCATGAGTGGATATCCACATACCTAAGTATTTTTCCTCCCAACAAATCTATGAGGTAGAGAGGGATTTTTAATCTATAGGAAGAAACGAAAAGAAGAAATGACTTTCCTGACGTTCTCTGGCTAGCAAGAAGACGAGCTGGGCCTCAAATCCCTGCCTCTTCCACTACGGGGCTCTGCTACCTAACAGCCCCACAGGTCTGGGCTCCATCAGCTGAGAGAGACCTCAGAGAGGACCACTCCTGGCCTCTCTTACTTGGTCGCACTCCACTCCCACTCTGACCACCCAGAAAGGTGGAAATGCACTCAGGACATTTTAGTCTTGGGAAGAAGCCAATACTCAGAATTAGAACTGAAAGTTGTAGTAAACAAGAGCCAACTAATTTTTCTGGTGACTGACAGCTGGGATAGCTGACCTATCATGTCAATGATTAAAGATTCAAACCATAAAACAACATACCTTGTTATAACCTCAGGGCTATGACACTGTTTTGATGCAGAAAAGCATTACTGTTCTGCAAAAGCACGGCAGTAGCTGACCAAGGTACGTACACCGGGCTTTCTGTTTTTTTATTAGGTTTTTACTGTATTATGAAGGATGCGTAAGGGAAAGAAGTAGTTCAGTTCTGCTCCTTTCTAAGTTACGCCTCATAAATAAAAATTACTTAGAACAGAGAAAGTCTTCTAATAGCAGGAGATTTCTTTTATGTCACGAATTCATTCGAATGCTTTCTGAGTTGCTATACTTTATTTTAATATATTATACAATTTTCTAAATACCTGTGTAAAATAAACCTAGAGTTGTCTTCCCTGAGTATTTTTGTGTCCAAGTTCACTCAATGGTTCCACATGAAAGTTTTATCAATGTAGAATGAATAATATTTGCCTGGACCATGCAGTGGCCAAGGTAAGGCTACATAGGCTGTATGTGCCATTTTCCACCAAATATATGTCAATTTTACATACTCTGTAGTAAAACACACAGTTTCATTAAGAAACTGCCCTCTGCCAGCCTGTACATCTGCCTTAAAATCCACAGGAAAGGAAGCAATCTAATAGAAACTACCATCACTTTGAAGATGTCCTCTATTTAACGCTGCAGGGGGGCAATTAATGAAATTTAACACAAGTTGCTTGTGAATGAAAATACACAGTTTGTGAACTAAATTAACTACACTGAGCAGGAGATGCAAATTTTTATACCAAATTTAACATTAAGATATATTATTTGTTAAAATACATTCTATACTATTACTTTCAAAAAATTCATTTCTGCACTAAAGGCAGTTTTAATTATTTCTTCTTACCATCCTCCCTTAACCTCTTGTTAACAATTTTACCACTTTCCTCTGTAAATAGCTGTTTTCTAAGCCATGGACTGTACTCTAACATGGAAGGAGCCACACCTACCTAATATGGAGTCACAGGGAGCCACCAGAAAATCTCACGAAAAAACTGGTGGCCTTAAGAAAGAAAGCACTGGTTGCATAAAATTACCTCTCAAAGTAAATTGCTCCACATTAATCTCAAAACAGGAAAACATTGCTACAAATATTAATATAGCCTATGTAAAATAAATATATCTGTCTGGAATAAATTACTATGGTGACAAGCATACAACATCACTGAGGAAAAAAATAAATGCTGCATGTGCTCTTAGCTTTCCCACTATAATAATCAGAATACACATTTAATTTAAGCGTTTGAGGCATAACTTACCAATTTAGCAACCTTCCCATAGTCAATCCATCTGACAGTAGCAAAATTTGTAGATTCTGCACAGTTGAAACCATGATTAAAACCAGCATGGTAGCCATATGGGAAAGTGATCATAAATTCGCCAGCCTCCTGGGTGATCTGCAGGGTAGAAAACATATAATATTTCCCAATTAAAAGACTTCCCAAATTGCAAATACAGTTAAAATATATTTCCTATTAAAAAAAAAGAAAAAATATGATGTCCGAGCTATAAAAGAAGTCCCCCCCAGATCCTTTACTTAATCCTTTAATAGTTTTTCAGGAGACTTTTAAAAGAATTTTCTAAACAGGGTGTGACCTTCTGGCAATGCAGTTCAATCATTCAGTCCATGATCAAAGAAATTATATTCTATTTGAAGATGTCTTTGTTTTATGTTATTCAAATAAATTTGTTCTTATTAGCATTCAATATGTATATTTTAATACTTTAAAAATTCACATTATTGGAATTATATAACAGGACTATCATAACTGACATTTTTCAAGTTAGAGCTATAAAAACTTTGATAACACATGCTGAATATTATGAATTCTTGTTGCTAAAGAGTTGACAGTATTCACAAAATTATCCTTTCATAACACTTACAAAACATTCAATTAACTTCATTCCATTTAATAGTAAAATTTCTACCAAATAGTTATTCAAATACATGTATAATATATAAGTATGTATGAGTGAGTGAGTGCATTTTCAAATATAATTAAACTAGCTTGGGTAAATAAGCCAGCAGCCTAAAAGCAAAGATGAAAAATGTATTCAGTCCATTCCTAATTTTCAGATTACAGAAATTTGTTTTTTTTATAATCGCCAAAGCATACAAAACACATCATGAGCTATAGAAATACAGTGAAGCTAAATTTTTCAGTGTTTTTTTTTTTTAACTTGTCTACTCAATGCTAGACTATCAAATATATAACTCACTGATTCATTCAGTTACCTTGGTTCATTTCAGTCCTAAAATGTTGATAAATGAATATGTGAGTATGCACTTGTGAGGAAACATACAGGAGATACACTGTATAAATACAGGTGCACACACTGCATCAGTTACCATTTTAGGAATGCTAAAATGTTGTGTGTGGAAGTATTTTCTTTCCCAACAATTCTGAAATTTAGCTCATCACCCCCTCCCCTGTGACACCCCAGCAGGTGTTCTATTGCAATGAGTGGCAACCCAGCTGCCACCCGGCAGGAAGAGAATGGCTTATCAGTGTTCAACATGGTTCCAGTTCCATCATTCGGAGCCACGTGAGAACAAAGCCTGATTCTCTCCTTTCCTGGTCTCACTGAATCTCATTAATTATAATTGTGCTTGGAAACTAGGCACTTCCTTGTACCATGTGATAAAACAAAACTCACTCTGCTCAACTGTTTCTAGCCCTATAAGGTGGAGGAAGAGGGTAAGTCTGTTGTCAGTGGGATAAGGAAACTAGCTTCACTGCTCCACTGAATTCCACCTACAATCCTTCTCTACTCTCCCTAGAAAACCCTGTTCTTGCCATGTTGAAAAAGTACCTGTTCCCATTAAATTGGACCCTAAATGTTATGCCTCTATATAATTTCTAGAAACAGGTCAATCCCAGTTAGCCAAAATATAAGGCAAATTTACTGCCTCTATGTAACAAACTGATATTTAAAAAAAAAAAAAAAAAAAGATATAGGGGTAGACAAGAACAAGTCCCTTTTATTATAAGACTAACCAAGCATCATAATTCCATATGGCAAAAAATGTCAGAAAGGGTAGTGTACGTAATCAAAAAGCAGAAATTAGCTATTTGTTAAACATACTTTTTCATATATATGTATGAATATGTACAAATTCACTGAAAGAAGAAGAAAAAAATGTTAGTCCAACTGCGAAATGATTGCCTAAAGAGAGAAGGTTAAACTGAGGAGGAAGATTGTGTTATTATTATATATAACCTGTACTGTGCAAAGCCCCTCATATAGATCATCGCTTTTCATTCTCATAATAGCTCTATTAAGTGGTACTATTACTATCCCCATTTTCCAGATGAAGAGACTGAGGCTCAGAAAAATTATGTAGTTTACCCAAGTGACGGAATCAGAAATGAACTTGGGAAGTATAATTCTGAAGTCTGTGCTACTCTGTCCCAAGCTACATTATCATCATCAGAGAATAAGCGCCTTGAGGAGCACACAATCATCACACACCCTTCATCAAGGTGGAAGGGGCAGTGGCAGTATTTCATATGAAAAACTGCAACTGCCAATCAGCCCTCTAAATTGCTGGTGTCTCACCATCTGTGGACGAGCACTCACCCTTCCACTTCCCACAAAAGCCACGAAATGTCCCATCCTCAAAAGACCAGATAAGAGCCTGGTGCATTTAGTGATCTACCAAATAGCACTTGAAGAGCCTCGGCCCAGAAAGGAGTGTGAGGCACCTGCCTCCTTCTCCCCAAATTTGAGAAAGAAGCTACAAACTCCAAAGGGCTCCATCCTGGGCAAATGAGCCAATCCCGCAGTCCTGCTACTTCACACAACCCCTCTCCAAAGAACAGCTTGATCAATTCCTATCACCAGCCCAAAACCCGCAGAGGTTTTCCTGTCTTGGAGGACTCCAGTCTACTCCTCCTCTGCCTTCTAATATTCCAACTTCAATAAAAGTGCTTAATCAGGCTTATGCCAACCACCTGAAAGAACGTGCACTGACGATATGTCTGAGACTGGAAAGCCTGATGCTCAGAGGCATCTGCAAGTAAGACAAGGCCCCTCAGAAGGAATGGCCCTTCTTGGGGGGAGGGGGGGCGCAGCCTCTGACCTCTGTACCTGCAGTAGTGCTGCAGCCCACCCACACTTGTGGACCTTCTCTATAGCGCACATCTTCAAGGCACACTTTTTGTCATGGGTAAAAGTATGTGACTAAACCAGTGTTGAGAGCATCCTCATCACATAAGACAAGTATGTCTCATGCATGACTACTGCACAGCCTGTTTGTGAGAGAGCGGGACCACCTCAAGTTGGAGAATGTTTCTTGGTCCTTGCAAAAATTCTACTTTGAACAAAGCCTGGGCTGGGGGTGGTGGGGGAGGGAGGTGGAAGACAGGATTTTAAGGGCCTGAGATAAAGAAGAGGGAAAGATTTAGTCACAAGTGAAAAGCTTCTAAGGTGGAAAACAGCAAGGATTATGGGAAGACAGTCAAATAAAAAATGAAAAAGAGAGTGGAACTATTTTTTAATGTTTCTGAAGTAGCTAAGGTCTTAATCCTCCTCCAACTGAGAGAGACCTTTTATTTATCTGGTCAAAAGCTTTTTTCATTTCAGCTTCTTCACATAAAAATGCTCATGCTCTGTAATAATTCTGACCCAATTACTACCCACGGACACAAAGAAAGAGGGATCTAGCATGTACAGAGTCTTACAGAACTTAATCTTCAGAAATACCCCCAAGAAGCAATATCTGATTATTAAATCATCAGGCAATTTTATCCATAATGAAATCTCAGTTGTATTATGTCTGAATGTGTTTAGAAATAACATACTGGCACCATAATCACTGGTTCTAACCAACCAAACTGCTAATAAAAATTGCTCTGATTTCTTTAAAAAAAAGAAAAATAGATCACATACACATTAATTTTGTTGGTCATATAAGAGATTTCAATGGAGAAGAGCTATATATCTTATTCTCTCAAATGTGCTACATTTTACTTTCAGTATTGTTGTAAGTGAACTAGAACTGCATGAAATCTCTAGTAAATGCATCTTGAAATAAAAGAAACTTCAAATTCATATTTAGGTAAATAACTGTTACCTAAATAAAACATGAATCTGAATTTTTCTCCCCACATCCGAAAAACCCTACCTGAAGTCAGAGATATATTAGTTTATGTTAAATTTGTCTTAAATACGAATACTATACACATTAAATGAATTTGTTAAAGAGTAACACTAATATACCTTGTCAAAGGGAATACCATATTTCTTCAATACTGAGGGAGATATCAGTGTCATCTTGTGGCGAAGAAATGCATCACACCCTTGAGAACTGCTTGGGAAAAAACCTAAATGGAAACAGTAATTATAAGCAGTAATGTGTCAATTAAAATAAAATTTCAAATCTTTTTTTTAAGCTTATGTTCTAGTACTCTTATAGAATGACAGCTTTACCTAAATATAGACCAAGTCCACCATCAAAAAACCTGGTACTAAAAACCAGAGTCAGAATTCTTAAAAATTAAAACGATACATATTTATATCACCAAGGGTTGACCTTTTTTACAAAAAAAGTGATCTGCCAAGAGTTGTTTGCATGATAGAAAATGACTAAACCCACAAATTCCAATTTGTAACAGATTTGAGCTCAATCTACCCATTAACTGATAGATGGACAAAATATTAAGGGAAAGTAGAAGAGGAAAATCTGCATTTTAACAGGGGAATCTCTCATTTTAGACTCCTAGGAGCAATCATTCTAGAAGCACTTATCCCAATGCCTGGCATACAGTAGACACAGCAGTTTCCCACCCTTGTTTCTTTCTGATCGATTTTAAACAGCTTAACTGCTTCTAGCTTCCTGAAGTAACTCCCAGCCAGGGCCAGTCAAAAGCTTGGAAACCTGTCTCACCAGCCTGTATGGGAACAGTACATACTGTTCTGAGGACTCCTTTAAATGAAGAAGCTAAATATGCAGCAACCCTTTCATTCAACAGATTATGCACTGGAACACAGTTGTTTCTCTCCATCTCTGCCTTCAATCCTGCAGTCTGTCTGAGGCAGACTCTCATTAACTCAGTTATGTAAAAAGCTAGAGGAAAATGAATGTGCCTGATACCCTGTTCTTTACCTTCCTCACTCATAGGGAAAAACCACCACACTGAGAATGGGAAAGCAAGAAGAGAAAGACAAGAGAAACATGGAAGAGACAGAGGAGAATCAGAGAGAGGACCCAGAAGGAACACAGAACTCACCAGGAAAGCATGTGTGATGTAGCTGGGTAAGGTGGGAAGAAGCACAGATGCTGTTTAACTCCTCCTCCACCAAAATGAAGGCCACTGGAAATGCTACTTACCTAACTCTGTGGCTCACTACGTATAAATAGCTCAAGAATATGACCAGTCTGATGAAAGAATTACCAGCACTCATTACCTAATCATGAACCATTTTAACCTCATAGAATAGCAAGGTTTTACGGGAATAGTTTTAAAGTAAGCAAGCCTTTATTGATGCCACCATGGAGTATGTGAGGCCACAGATCATCAGAAGGAAACAAATGAAACATCTAAAAAAAAGCCGTTAGGGTATAAAGAACCACCTGCAAAGAGTAGTAATATTCTGCTTAAGCATCTACACCTGGATTTTTAAGATGAACAGACAGAAATATTTAAAAAGTACATCCAACAGAAACATCAGAAATACTATCATTCGCTACAATATCAATGGGAATAAAAGGAATAATTGTGCCCTATCTGGTCATTTAACGCAGTCCTCCGTTTATGGTTAATATTCATAATACATAAATAGAAAATAACCTTTGAAAGAATGCAGACCTTAGTGAATGGTGAGAAAGTACCATATAATGCAACGGCCGTATCTATACAATAGGATGTCCTGAGTCTACACCACAGAGAGTAAAGCACAGCAGGGCAGTCCCCAAACACATAACCCACGGAAAAGTTTTAGCAATACAATTTAAATAGATCTATCAAACTTTTCAAATCTGCAACTCTGTGCAGCACTGCATGAATTAAGTTTTAAATTAAAATCAATGAAGAAAGAGGAGTCTACTTAATTTTCTTTTGATATGGATTTGTAATCAGGACCTGAACAATGTGATGACTGGTCGTTAGTTAAAATGGAAAACCACTGAAGGAAGGCAATTTGCCATATGTTAAGAACTTCATATTGGTTCAGAATTTATATTTTCAATAGGTTATCAGAATTATATTTCACATCGCCCTGGAAAACACCTCATAAACCACAAATTATGACATAATGTATGTGTCTCAAAATGAATTTTACCTTAAAATACCTGCAGAAGTACATGGTTCACACCCTCATTCCACCATTTCTTAAGAATATTTTATTCAATATATAAAGAAGCCAATATAACCAGAATACTATTTGATACAAAATGATAATATCTTTTAAAACTCAGAACTATGCTGGCTAAAGGAATGTTTGCAGCTTTCATAACAAGTGAAAAAACAAATTTGGAATCACATGTATGAAATCTAACAAAAACAGATCAGATAGAAAACATAAAATTTAACTAAAAATTCAACTTAAGACAATCAGAGTTTTTTGAAAGTCACCAAATAAAGAGAAAACAAGGTATGTGTTAAAATTTTTGCAAGTTAAGTTCTTTAAAATATGCCTTTCAGAACCTTTTTTTTTTTCTATTCTAATATTTACTTTCTTAATGTGCTTTTTTTCTAAGTTTTCAATTTGGAAAGAATTTATTTGGAAGAAGTCTGCTCTTAAACTTACCGTATTTGAATGTTACTACTGCAACATTCTCTAAGACTTTCCAATTTACCAGTCACATAATTGGAGAATCCACTCTTACATAATCTTGAAAACCAGGAAGTTCTAATAAAGAAAGAGTTCTACACTGACCCCTCAAGTATCTAGTAGTGGACATAGCAGCTAGCAACTCACTACCACACCTCACATACCCCATGGCCATCAGGTAACATGCCAGGTGTAGAAGAACACACAGAATAAACCTGGCACATCTTTCTGAGCATCTACTTATGTCATGCTAAATTACGTGGTTTATATTTGCATACAAACAAATGTATCAAGGGGGCAAGATGCAAAATCCGCATGAGTGTTGCGGAGTAGCAGGGTTTCACTCTCATCCCCTGTAGGGATATTTTGGTGGGAGCATTTGAGAGGCAGCCTACTGTGAGGTGCAAACTATGTTATGGGATTCTGTGTAAATCTTGCCCAATCTCCTCTTACAAACACCTAACACACACGCTTACTTGAACACCTAATTTCCTCTCTCATTTACTGCTCACAACATACACCTTCTCACTGCTACTAAATAGCAGACCTACGTTTTAGATGAAAAAACATAACTGTTTGAGCTATTTGAAGTCACCCTCATCTTGTCCACATGGCTAGCAAAATAAAAGAGAATAACAGTTAAGAATCCCTACAGAGACATGGATTCCTAGCACAAGTCCAACAACTCATATAGCCTTGTCTGGTCCCATAATCTCTCAGCTCCTCAATTTCCCCATTCATATAATCAGAATGCTAGTATTACCTTCCTCAGTGGGGTCTTTTTTTTTTTTTTTTCCCCAGCATCAAGATACGATTGACATATGACATCATATAAGATGTACAGTATAATGATTTGATATATGTATATATTGTGAAATGACTACCACGTTAAGTTTAATTCACATTCATCACCTAAAAATAGTTATAATTTTTTGTGTGATGAGAAGCTCTAAGATCTACTCTTTCGGCAACTTTCAATACAGTATTGTTCATTATAGTCACCATACGGTACAGTACATCCCCCAGAACTTACTCATCTTATAACTGGAAGTTTGTACCTTTAGACCCCCTTCACCCATTTTCCCCACCCGCTGCCTCTGGCAACCACCAAACTGTTCTCTGTACCTATAACTTTGGTGTTTTAGATTCCACACATAAGTAACATCATATGGTATTTGTCTTTCTGTATCGGACTATTTGACTTAGCATCATGACCCCAAGATTCATCCACGTTGAAAGAAATGGCAGGATTTCCTTCTTCCTTATGCCTGAATATATATATATATATATATATATATATATATATATATATATATAACACTTTGCTTTATTCATTCACCTGTTGATGGACACTTAGGTTGTTTCCATGTCTTAGCTACTATAAATAATGCTGTAATATCAGGGGTGCAGATATATCTTTAGGACAGTGATTTCATTTCCCTCAAATATAGATCTAGAAGTAGAACTGCTGGATCATATGTCAGTTCTACTTTTAATCTTTTGAGGAACCTTCATACCGTTTTCCACAGTGGCTATCCTCACTGGGTGGATCCTTACGGGAATCCAGTGAGATAATGCACAAAAAACTTAGCCGTTATCAAAAAGTGGAAACAACCTAATGTTCATCAACTGATAAATGGAAGAGCAAAATATGGTATATCCTTACAACAAACTATTAGTCAGCTATAAAAAAATATGAGGTACTGCTATAAGTTATAACATAGAAGAACACTACATAAAAGAAGGCAGACACAAAAGATCACATATTATATGATTCCATGTATATGAAATTTCCATAATATGTAAATACCTAGACAGAAAGCAGACTACTAATTGCCAGGGGCTGGGGAGGGGTGGGAGGGAATATAGCATGACCAATTAAAAAATACAGGGTCGGGACTTTCCTGGTGGCACAGTGGTTAAGAATTCGCCTGCCAATGCAGGGCACACAGGTTCAGTCCCTGGTCCGGAAAGATCCCACGTGCCTCAGAGCAAATAAGCCTTTGCGCCACAACTGCTGAGCCTGCGCTCTGGAGCCCACGAGCCACAACTACTGCAGCCTGTGTGCCTAGATTCCGTGCTCCGCAACAAGAGAAGCCACCGCAATGAGAAGCCCACGCACAGCAATGAAGAGTAGCCCCTGCTCACCACAACTAGAGAAAGCCCGCGTGAAGCAACGAACACCCAACGCAGCCATAAATAAATAAATAAATAAATAAATAAATAAATAAATAAAGGGTTTCCTTTTAGGGTGATAAAAATCTCTTGGAACTAGACAGAGGTGATGGTTGCACAATATGAACATACTAAAATGCCACTGTATTGTACACTTCAAAACGGTTAATGGTTTATTTTACATTTTGTGAATTTAAAAAAATAATAAAACTTAGTCTACTTGACACATAGTAACATTCAATGAATACTGGCCATTATTATTATCCCTGTTACTCATTTCCACCATGTTGACTCTAGTTATCATGTTAGTTCAACAAATCTTCCATTTCCACCATGATAAGGAACACGTACTCCAGCAATCTCAATAGAGCCCTGA